AACCTGAATTAAAGCCTCACTCTGAGACTTCAACACTTCCAAAAAAGGCCTCCGACAAGCTGCGTGAGTCAGGGTTCTCCGGAGGAACAGAAGCAAAGATGTGTAGACATATAGAAAGAGATTTATTTTAAGGAATTGGCTCACACGGTGATGGAGGCCAAAATCTGCGAGGCGAGCCGGAAGTCTGGAGAACCAGGAAGAGCCAGTGCCGCAGCTGAAATCCAAAGGCCATGTGCTGGCTGACTACCTTCATGCTTGAGGAGTCATTCCCTTGTGCTATTCAGATCTTCAACTGGTTGGACGAGACCTACCCACATTATGGAGGCCGATGTGCATTCCTCAAAATCCACCGATTTAAATCTAAATCTCATCTAAAGAGCATTATCACACACACACACACACACAAAAACACCCAGAATAATATCCAGTGTGACGTAAAACTAACCATCCCACAGTCCGACCAGAAATGACTACATCCATTAAAGTCAAGCCAAGCACTTTTCTCTAAATGAAGCACTGAGCTCTTATGCAAGCCTACTGGCTCAAATCTGTAAACGAACCTGGTTTGTAATCCTAACAGCCTTTGTCATCTGGATTCGCAAACCTGGGCAGACGAGAAACAAGAGAAGGAAGCAGACTGAGGAGTTGCAACAGGCAGATTCCAGAAACAGTGAGAAGTGACAGCTCACAGCCTGACAGTGAGGAGGAGACAGAAGATCTTTAAAAAGTAGACGGAAGAACTATAAAAGCTCGGCAGCCTAGGGCCTTTGAGTGTTAAGACAAATTGTTCTCCTTGCTTCATGGAGTGAGGCTATGATGGCGCCCAGTACGGCAACTGGTGTTCTTAATGATCTACGTGAGTCTCTGAGTAACAACACATCAGGATTCGCTGTTACAAGGGACCAGATGGAAGAAAAAGGGCAGTTTTTAAAGGGTGGGGAGGAGGCACGGTAGTCACTAGCTGATAGGCTCTCCCTCCCCTCGCCCCCAACCCTCACTTGTGCATGGGGAATACAGTGCATTCTCTGTTGGCGCTTAAAAAAAAAATTAGCCACTCCACCTTGATCAGGGCAATCGGGGTGTCCAGACCTCATTTGAAGAAAACTATGCTCTTAATCCTTAAGGATTATCATAATATTGATATGAGTGATATTGATACCACTCCTTCTCCGGGGATGGTTCTTATGGCTTCAGTCAATCTAAACATGCCATTCATCTTCTGACTTTCAGAAAGGAGCTGCTCCTTCAGAAAGGAGCAAACTGGCACTTCAGCGATGCAAAAGGATGTTTGCTGGGGACTTCTGAGAAAAAGAGACTCTTTTTCTTCCCCTCCCTAGATGTGTCTCATGAGAGTGTGGTCTCATACTGTTGTAACCATTCTAATCCTGTGAAGGGGGAGGCTGGAACTTTCAAATGATGGGAAAGAGCCCTCTGCATGGAGACGGAAGATAAAGCCAGAGAGGATAAGTGGAGAGAAGTTGGATTCTTATAGCAGCATATGAGCAGCTTGATCAGACCTCACCTGAAGCTGCTACAGGGTTTTTATTTACATGTGCCGATGGATTCCTTTTTTGACTAAGCCAGTTTGAACTCATTTTTGGTTATTTGCTAAGACACGATACCTGACTGATATAAGAAGTCACTCCTAGAAGCCTAATCTTGAAAGAGAATTTTGACTAGAACAGAATGAATTGAAGGGTAGACTAACAACAATAATAACAATACCAACTCAGAAAAAAAAAACAACAACATAGGAAGCACATAATATGTTCCAGAAATTTTCTACAGCTGCACTGACTTCTCACAAAAGCATAGGAGGTTGGTGCTATGATTTTAATTTTAAATGAAGCTGCCGTAGCTCAGGAAGGTTACATGACTTGCTCAAGGTTGCATAGCCAGGAAGAGGACCGGACAGGTCCATCAGAATAGGTCGTACCACTCAGGAATATGCTCTTCTCTTCCTGCCTCTCTGCCTCCTCTCACCTGCCAGGCAGATGGCTGAATAGAGGAGGGTATGAGCCCGAAGACCGTGGTCAGGAAAGAGTAGAAGCACTGGCCTGTACAGTGATCAGGAGAGGACTGGGAAGGCAATGAGATAAGATAAGACCTAGTAAAACTGAGTCACAAGACCCTTCACACAAGACCCTGAGTACTGGGACTCAGCGGTGGACAGGTTTACTTGTAGCCATTACTCTTTTTTTTTTTTAATGTTTATTTTTGAGAGACAGAGCATGAGCAGGGGAGGAGAAGCGAGAGAGGGAGACAGAGATTCGAAAGCAGGCTCCAGGCTCCACACTGTCAGCACAGAGCCTGATGCAGGGCTCAAACTCACGGACCTTGAGATGATGCCCTGAGCTGAAGTCGGGTGCTTAACCCACTGAGCCACCCAGGCGCCTCTAATTGTAGCCATTACTCTTATCTGGCGTTATGATGTAGTTCTGAGGCCACTCATCGTCACTACCAACAGAGCTATGCCCAACCACCACCCAGGTTCAAATCTGGATTATAGTGCCAAGATACTTATAACCCATTTATTCGTGTAGCAGCCATCCGAGCATCTATGTCTCAATAGCACCCTGCTTGGCGAGCAAGACGGTCAAGGTAACTACCCTCATGGACCTTAACAGTCGAGCTGGGGGAGAGGGCAGGGAACAAATAATTGCACCTGAAACAAACAATCACATCTGCAAATAATTATCCTGCATGGTGAGAGCACCCACTGTGAAAAGGGCTAGAAGAGACAAGAATGGAGGGTTCTAAAAAGAACGAGGGAGACCTGGTTTGGATAGGAAGAGGTGTGTGCATGCGTGGGGGCTAAGGCTTCTTCTTGGAAGTGTGATTTAAGTAGAGGCCTTGATGTTTAAATGGGCACATGCATTCTATGCAGAGAGAATTGCATGTGCCAAAAAAGAAACTGGCTTTGCATGTGTAAGGAACTGAAACGGACCGTTAGTGGCTGGGGGGTAGGCAGGGGCTGGATCATGCAAGGCCTTGAGGCCCCCACTGGGACTTTTAGTTTGCATTTAGTCATTCCCTCTTGACTGTTTCCTGAGAATCCTCTCCTGGGCCAGACTGTATGCAGGGAATAGGGATATGGCGATTGATAATGATTATGATAATGCCCAATATTCACTGAGAACTTACCATTTGCTATTAAAACTCTTGTCCGAGATTGGAGGAAGAGTTGTCCTGGTCATTTTTGTGACCCAAAGAGTGTTTCAGATACAGGCAGCTAGTTAAGAGGATTTCCCAAACTTGGCAGATCAAAAGAACTCCTTAGCTTATATGATATGTTGGGGCACAGGAATGAACGGTCAGTAAAGAATTCTTGAGACATCTTGGGTGCAAAAAAGGAGGTTTTATTAAAGCACGGGGACAGGACCCGTGGGCAGTAAGAGCTGCACTGGGGTTGGGAGGGGTGACTGATTATACACTTTCAAGTTGGGAGGGGTTTCAGGAAAGCCTAAGTCTCCGAGTAATTTGGAAGCAAGTCTTCCAGGACCTTGAGTGGCTTAGCTGCTGTTAAGATAAGGTGATTGGAGGGGTGCCTGGGTGGCTTAGTCGGTTAAGCATCCGACTTTCACTTAGGTCATGATCTCGCGGTTCGTGGGTTTGAGCCCTGCGTCGGGCTCTGTGCTGACTGCCAGCTCAGAGCCTGGAGCCTGTTTCAGAGTCTGTATCTCCCTCTCTCTGACCCTCTCCTGCTCATGCTGTCTCTCTCTCTCTCTCTCTCCTAGAAATAAACAAAAATATTTTTAAAAAAAGATAAGGTGTTTTACTACTATCTAGTAAAACTGAGTCACAAGACCCTTCACATGATATCAGTGGGCCATATGCTTGGAGGATGATTGCTAACTATTATCTTGTGGGGACGGGGAGATAAAGGAAACTTCCAAAGGGATTTTTATATGTTAAAGAAGAATTACAGGATCCTGGAGGTGGGTCTAACTTCAAGCTAAGGTTACCTTTTGACCTTAGCAAAATATTAACATCAAGCAGTCCACTTCCTGGAGGAAGTCACTCTGCCTGTCCTGAGGATTTCTCAACGGGCTGTAAGCTGCAAGGAGATTTAATTTTTTTCTACATTTCTTTTGCCTTTGTTTTCCATACCCTGAGGGAGTTAACAACCCTTCAAGTGATTTGGATTCAGTAGATGCAAATTCTCCTGGAATTTGTGTTGATAGCAACTGCAGCAAACACTGGCTTAAAGTGTTTAGTGCAATGGCTTTTTCTTTTTGTTTCGTTTTTTGTTTTTGCTGGACAGATCCTAGTTTGGGTCGGAGGCAGCTCCACTACTTTTCCAGATTATGTCACCTTGAGCAAACTGTTCCACCTCTCTGAGCACCAGTTTCCCCTTCCGACAAACGCAGCTGAAGGCAGCACCATCTCCTGGCGTTGGGGTGCAGATTAAGTGAGCTGGGATTCCTAACGGTCGATGATGACATTAACAGGATGATGGTGAAGACGACATGGAATGCCTCATGATCAGGTGTCCTAGATCACAGTTGGTGGCTTGAAGGACTGTCCTGAGACGGGGCCCAGTTCTTCTGCCCTCAAGCTAGGGTTGCGGGATAAAACACAGGAGCCCAGATAAAGTGGAATTTCAGATAAACCACAAAAAAAAAATTTAGTGTAAGTATCTCCCAAATATTGCATGGGATATACTTATATTGAACAATTACTCGTTGTTTGCCTGAAATTCCAACTAACTGGGCGCCCTGTAATTTTACTTGTGAAACCTGGCAATGGCACCTTAGAGAAAGGAAGGACCCGCTTCGCGCCCCCCACTCCCTCCCCACCCCAAGGCCTCCAGCTTGAAGCCAGGAGCACCCCGTCTGCGCATGCACGCAGGCCCCAGTCTAGGCGCCTCCACTCGCCAGACGCCCCAGTCGATCCCAGAGGGGCCGCTCACGCTTCCTTCAGGCAGCACTAGCGGCCCCCCGAGCGGGGAAGCCCAGGCGCGCCCGCCCTCCCGCCCCACCCTGAGCAAAGGGCGCCGCCCCCAGCGGGGCACGACTGGCCGCGTGGTTGGGTTGTGCGGCGTCCAGCCGCTGCTTCCTACACAGGCTGCTCAGGGGAAGCCGGAAACTCGCTCGCCATGTCTGCTGCGGAGGCGGGGGGTGTTTTCCGCAGAGCCCGGGGCAGGACCCTGGACGCCTTTCCCTCAGGTACTGCCAGCCTTTCGCCCGGGGAGGGGATGACTTCAAGGCTGCGGAACCATCCGTCGGGGGAACCGTTGGTTTGGGCGCGCGGGCCTCCAGCCGGACCGCTTCGGGGGCTGCACCCGGAGGCCGGGGACCGCAATAGTGGCCGCACCGCCCGCGCTCGGGGCTTCGAGGGGCGCCCCTGAGAGACGGGGTGGGGTGTCTCGGCTATGGGGCCTCCGCTGGCCTTGACGTAACTTCCCTAAGAGAGGAGGACGTGGAGGAAGGCGACAGAGCGTGCTCAGCAGGGGCGGGGAGGCGGGGCTTTCAGCCCTGCCCTGCACACGTGACTCACTCAGCAAGCCTTGGCCTCAGTTTCCCCACCTGCAAACCGGAATAGTAACCGTGATCTTAACGTGTGGCGCCCTTAGGCGCCCAGTGCGAGTCGGATGCGGCTATTTCCATTGTGGTGGTTCACCACGGTGCGTTTTATACTCCATAATCCCGATAATCCCGGTTTCCTCCTGCGATAGGGGTCATCCACCAGATGGTATATAGCGCCCGTCGCAAAGCGAGAGGGGAGCCCAGCGTCGTGTCAGAGTTAATTAGGTGCTTGGAGTTTGGGTTCTTGTAAAAATGGATTAAGGACAAAACTTGCCGTATGGGGAAGCGTTGGCAAGTGTAACTCAGTGCGCGACACAGCCTGGGTGCTAAGTGAATGTTAGCCCTGGAGCCGTAAGTCGAGAGGGAGTTTCCTGGTGTCTTGGTCCTCTCTGGCTTTTTGCTGCCTGCAGTCACGGGTCCCTCCTCGGCACCACTTTCGTAACCCCGAGGACAGCACCCCAGATGCCCTGCATGATCTGGCCTGTGCTCACCTTCCATGATTCGTGCTTGTCGTGGCTCCCTTTGCACTGGTTTTCTTGAAGGGCTTTCTGTCTTCAGCTTCCATAGCTAACGAAAAGCCGTGCAGATGGGCCTGACCCGTTCCCCACCTTCAAGCCCCGTTTTAAAATTCAGTCACTTGGCGCTAGTCAGATTTTTTTCTTTGCAACCCTCCTTAAAGTAGGTTCCTGCTGAAGTCCTCTGTCTAAAACCCTGTTTCTTGGTGGGCAGTGGTGAGGTTCTGGAAGGGCATGTGGGGCCAGAGATAAAGCTTTGGTGCGTTTGGGGAAAATACAGACCAATAGAGTGCCCATTCTCTAAACATTTTAATATACCTTTTTTTTTTTTTCACCCGGCATGAGGTTTTTGAGATGTATCTGTTTTGATAGAAGTGGCTCTAGTTCACTCATTTTCTTCCTGGGCAATAGTCCACTGGATGTATTACCTAATTTATCCGCTCTGTTGCTGGATATTTGCAGTGTGTCTTCCCCGAGAAAGGGGTGTGCTCTCTGATTGCAAGGGATGAGTTTGAGACACTGGGACCACAAGGGAGGAAAGGACTGTGGGAGGCGGAGGGGGGAGGGTGTCCATGAGACCCGAGGATGGGTGGTGAGTAATTGACGAGTTTTGCCTTTACGTAATAGAGTGTCAAAGAGGTTTAAGCTACACGTGTGAGAAAACAGGGACCCGTGATCAGATTTCCGTTTTAGAAAGGAGAGTCATTGACCTGGACAAGAATGGGGAGGTGGGAAGAGAAAGCCTCAGAAGAAAAAGTGGCAGGATACTTACCTTGCTGACGTAGGAAGAAGGAAAATGACCCTGGGCTTCCCTTAGCCCCAGTGGGTGTGCTCAATGTGGGCCATTTAGCTCAGTCAGGGCTTTCAGAAGCGGGGCCTTGGAGGGTTGAGCTTGGGACGCCTGGTCTTGTGGGTTAACTTCCCTGGGTGCTGAACCGCCAAGGTGCCTCCATTGCTCTTACTGAGTTTTCCCTGCATCCTCATTTCCTGCTAGCAACTTTGAGAGATGCTTTTCCAGGGTCCCGTGCTGGCCCAGGCTCTGTGGGAATAGAAAGGCTCAAGCTGGTAGGGTTGCCGCAGAGGCAGGCTGGGAGGAGAAAGGGAAGGAACTGACTTTTCCCGGGCTCTTGCTAAAATACACCCTCCCTGTGAAAGAAGTTTGGTTAACTTGAGCCACACTGCCTAAAATCGCAGCCGTGATAACCCTCATACTCGCGGCTCGAAGTCCCCTGCAGCATTAGCTAGAGTTTATTTCTTAGGTGAAACTGAGAACTGTCTTTGTCCATCCAGGCTGTCATAACAAAGCCCCAAGACCAGGTGGCTTAACAGTACACACTTAGTCCTTGCAGTCCTGGAGGCCTGAAGTCCCAAGATCAGAATCCGTGTGTGGTGCCAACCTTCCTGGCTCATAGACGGCCATCATCTTGTGGCCTCACGTGGTAGAAGTGGGGAATGAGCACTCTGGGGTATAAGCCGTTGATATCACTGTGACCTCATCGCGTCTCTAAGGCGCCACCTCCACATATCATCACATTGGGGTTTAGGTCTCAGCGTAAGAATCTGGGGGGCACACAAGCGTGAAGTCTGTGGTAAGCGCTTGAGGACTATCCCCCGCCCTCCCCCACTTGTGGTTCATGTGAGTGGTGGTATTCTGGTGGTAGTGTATGTGAGGCCTGGCTCCAGTCATCCATTCCCTGTAAACATCATCTGCGAGGCTCTGTTGACAGATGTTTGTAAAAAGTAAATTGTCCGTGTCGCATTGGAGAAGCTTCACGTTCCTCAGGCATGTTCAAATATCCATTTTAATTAGTCAAATTGATAATTATATTTCCTTGACACGCATCCTAATGAAGACTACATTCTCCCAGCAAATAATTGTTTTTCTGAAAAATTTACGACATCTGTTTTGAAGACGTTCTAAAAGAGAGAAATAATCAAGATGAAAGAGGTTTACAAATTACCCATCTCTATTTGTTTTCAGGTCCTAAAGTGTCTTTTCTTTTTTATCTCCCAGTTCGTTTTACCACCAAAATGTTCCCTCTTAGAGAATAGGGCTCTTTGGTGGTTTTCTTGAAAAGATTGTGTCCCTACATATTTTAAACCTGCAGCTGTTTTGCAGGAGCCGACCGTATTCACTAACCCCGAATATTTCTTGGTCCCCTCTCATGGGGCAGAAAATAAATGGAATCTCCCAAAAAATAGCTTGCCCCGTGTCTTGCAGGTCACACCTAAGAACTTCTTCTCTGGACATGTTTATCCAGGTCTGAACGGGGCCGAAAATATTGTGGTTTGAAAAATTCTAACAGATCAATGAAGAACATGAAATAAATGCTTTTAATGATGCCATACATTTAGACCAAACCAGTTATCTCTTATGTGAGAAGGACTTCTGTGGCTAAAAGAAGAATTTTGATTATCCCCTCCTCAGTATTATCATCATCAGTCAAAATTAGTTTGTAAAATGTTCTTGCCATAACACTACCAAGAGACAAACGAACTTTTATTTTTGAGTGTCCCCCCTTTTTTGAGTGCCTTTCTATTTTTTTTAATAACTTTATTGAGGTACCCTAACATTCACTCGTTTTAAGTTCACAGTTCAGAGGTTTTTAATAAATCTATAGAGTGGTACAGTGTGAGGATTTTAGAGCCTTTGTGTCTCCCCCCCAAAAAAGCTTTGTGCCTGTTTGCAGTCTTTTCCTGTTTCTACTCTATGCACCGGAAACTACTAATTTACCTTCATCACTTTGCCTTTTCTGGACATTTCATATAAACGGCATCATAAAATCTCTGGTCTTTTGTGACTGGCTTCTTTCCCTTAGCATAATCTTTTCAAGAGTCTCTCATGTTATAGCAAGTATCAGTACTTTGTTCCTTTTGACTGAATGGCATTCCATTGTATGGGGAAACCACATCTTGTTTATCCATTCATCCATTGATGAGCACTTATACGTTGACTGACATTCCCCAGTTTGGACACTGGCTGTTATGAATACAGCTGTTATGAACATCCACATATAAATCTTTGTGTGGACCTAGATTTCATTTCTCTTGGGTAGGTACCCAATTGCTGGGTCACGTAAGTAACTACGTTTGACATTCTGAGGAACTTCCAAACTGTTTTACAAAGCAGCTGCACCATTTTCATTCCACTGCTAAGGTATATGGGTTCATATTTCTCCATATCCTCTCCAATACTTGCCATCATCTGTCTTTTTGAGTCTAACCAACCATATGGGTATGAATTGGTATCTCATTGCGAGGTTGGTTTTCATTTTCCTAAAGGCCAGTGATGTTGAACATTTTCATGTGCTGGCTGGCCACAGTCTTTCTTTGAAGACATATCTTTTCAAATCCTTTGCCCTATTTCCTCCCACTCCCCCCCCCCCACCCGTTGGCCCAGTTTTAATTGCGTTGTGTTCTTATTGAGTTGTAAGTGTTCTTTATATATACTGAATACAGGTCCTGTAGCAAATCCGTAATTTGCAAATATTTTCTTCCATTCTGTGGATTCTCCTTTCACTTGCTTTATAATATCCTTTGCAGCACCAGAATTTTTAATTTCGATGAAGTCCAAATTATCAACTCCTTTTCGTTATCACTTGTGCTTTTGATGTCCTATCTAAGATATTTGCCTAACCCTACATCATGAAGATTTACTTCTGTTTCTTCTAAGAGTATTCTAGTTAAAGCTTGTACATTTAGGTCTAGGTTCATACTGAATTAATTTTTATGTATGGTGTGGGGAAGGATCTAATTATTAGAAAACTTCCTTCTATTTTTTTTTCTTACTACAGTAGGAACCTAGTAGTTGGTCAATGAATAGAAAAAAAATAGCTAAACAGGGGAATTTAAAAAATTACACATTCTTTTAACATTTCCATTTAATGTAAACTATAAAAGTACATCCATTTGCCATTCTTTTGAGGTCGGGCCAAGGACTTGTCTTGGAGTAGCAGTTTACAGATGGGCCTGCCATGGAGCCTTCCAGGCATAAACAGTGCCCATAATGAATCTTTTCCAGCTTGGGTTTTTTCCAGTGGAGGAGTCCGTTAAGAATCCCTTGGAAAGCACTCCGAGTGGAGAAGTTTTCTAGGTTGATGCTTTCTTCTCCCTCTAATCTTTTAT